GGAATGGGACTTTGATCCAGTTGTGGGCATCGGGCAGCTTCCTGGAGGAGGGACACCCAGGCAGGGTCATGGTGTTTTCCAGAGTAGCCAGATGCCTGGCAGGCAGAGGGAGGGGGCACAGGAGCAGCTGTGGGGCCTCCTAGGCTGTCCACGCTTGCTCATAGCACCCAGCAGCCCATCTTGATTCCTCTTGTCTCCAACAAGTCATGTCTTTCCAGCTGGCCTCTAAGTTCCTCAAGGCCCGGAGACTTGGTGCATGTTTGGATGTGAGGTAGGAAGAGGCAGATTTGAGTGGTATCAAAGAGAGCTCCCTGCCCAAATGCCATCTGCCACCACGTTTACCCTCCACCCTGGTCCCTGGTCCCTCGCTCCTTTGGGTCTGACAGCCACCAGTGCGGAGCCACCAGTGAAAGTATAAGGCCTTCCTGGGGAGATTCTCGCTGGAAATAGGTGACCGGGGATTGGGAGCCAGAGAGTAAAGGAGGGAGAAAGGGGAGAGTAAAGGAAGGGAAACGGGTGAGCAAAGATGCGTGAGGATTTCTGCAACTTTCTTGCCACTCTTTTTCTTGTATGTTCCACTTTTTTGACCTCGTGACACATGTAGAGTAAAAGCTCCTGGACAGACTCACCAGAGGGCAGAAATAGTGTTTTTGAGGTAGGAGTGAAAGGTACCGTAGTAAAGAAGAGTTGGAGTCAGGCGACCCAGTGCGAGTCCTGCTGTGTGGCCTGAGCAGACCCAGCGCCCTCTCTGGGCCTCCTGGCTCCACCCTTCAGTGTACTGGCTGGACGGGGTGCTCTTTAGGGGTTCCTGCAGTCTCAGCCTCTGAGGGCTCAGTGTGGACAGCGAGGTGGGAAGGGAGCCTGTCTCCAGCCGGCCAGGCCTGGCTGTGTTTAACCTGCCTTGGCTGATACCAGGCCTGCAGAGTCACGCAAAATAGCCCCAGAGGAAGATGTTGACGGCCAGCAGGAGGACGGCGTTGATGTTGCAGACGCTTCTCCAGAGCGGCTCCTCCTCGATGCTGGTCAGTTTCTGCTCCAGCGCGGCCTTCTCCGCGGGGCTCAGCGCTTGCTCCGGGGCCCGCGAGAGCCCGCACAGCCAGCCCCAGAGCAGCTGTCCCCGGGACCTGCGTGGGGCTGAGGGACAGAAGTCAGAGGGGAGGAAGGCAGGGGGGCGGCAGGGCGAGCTTGGAGAAAGGAGATGATGAGAGAGCAGGGCCGGGACAGAGATGGTGAGAAACCCAAGAAAGGAATGAGGCGCACGGAAGGGGGCAGAGGCAGGGGGAACAGTCAGCTTAGCCCGGGTGCAAGCCGCAGGCTGGGCGCTGAGATGGGGCGCCACGCTGAGCCCCCAAACCGTCATCTAGCGGGAGCATCCCCATGTTGCAGGGAGAGGGGTGTTAAGGGGCGAGGATAACGAACACAGTTCAACCCAGTTCAGAGCGCGTGCCCCGCCTGAGGACCGAGCGGCTCAGCATTAGGAAGCGCACTTCACAGTGATATAAACCAAATCCTTGCGCTACGCTTTATCAGTAATGAGGGCAATATTTCAGCTTACTCGTTTAATAGCCATCTGGGAAGGGAGGAGGTGTGATATTTTGGGGACTCCCTTAGAGACCCCATCCCCAGTGACCCCCCAGATGGGGTGTTTGGGACCCATGACCTGGTGTCCACCCCCACTGCTCCCCCCATGTGCCCTCAGCCTACCTGCAGGCTGTTCCTGGCCGTGCCTGGGGTTCTCTGTCCCTCCGGCCCCTGTAGGACCCTCCCCAGATGGCACGTCCGCTGTCCCTGCGGTGCTCTCCCGCGCCTCCCTCTCCAGCTCAGAGTGAGGGCGGTGCCGTGTCCACCACGTCAGGCGAGCGAGCTGGAAGAGAGCAAACAGCCTCGGCTCAGGGACCCTTGGGAGGAAGTCGGGCTGTAGAAAGAGAGGGGACTCCCCTTCCCGGGAGCCCGGCAGAGCAGCGAGGACAAGAAAGGAGCACAGGGCTGGAGGACGAGGGCTGCCTCTGAGGCCCGACTGCCCCGTCCTTGGAAAATCTGAACTCCCTGCACCTGTTCCATACAGGGCTTGTGCCGGGGGCCGAAAGCACCGCAGGTCAGGCTGGGGCCCTGACCTCCCGCAGCTCACGGGCAGGGAGAAGCAAGGCCGGACACAGGGAGGCAGGCGGCCCACAGCAGCAGCTCCCGAGGTCAGGCTGAGAGGCTGAGACTACGTGAAACTTGTAGGCAGTGGAGAGTCACCGCACGCGGGAAGCAGAGGGAAAGGGCTCAGTTCTGGGCTTCAGGAAGATCTCTCGGAGTGAACTGATGAGATCCAGCCTGGAGACGGTTGCAAAAGTGAAACCAGAAAAAATGAGCATTTGAGGTTACGGGGTGGGGGGCAGTCTCAAGGTTGAGGAGTGAGATCTGCAGGCCGTGGTGACTGACTGGAAGCAGCCGCCGTGGCTCTCAGGGCTGCCCTGGACCTCCAGATGGGTAGGGGTGCCCCTCACGGAGCTCGAGCCGGCAGGAGGACGACTGGGCTTGGTGATGGCGGGAGTGAGAGAGAGAGATAGAGAAAGCCTGGGGGCGGGGGAGTGGTCATTCTCTCACACACACACACACACACACACACACACAAACACACACACACAGCCGGAGCTTGAAGAGCCTGGAGGGCCTCAGAGCAGAGACGTCCACGGATCCCTACAGAATAATGATATTTAAGGGGCAGGAAGAAAATCCCATGAAGATGACAGAGAAGCAGCCAGAAGGGTAGAAAAATATACAGTGAGCAGAAGAGAGGTCTCCAAGATGCAGGATGTGGACAATAGTGTCTGGTTCTCTTCAGAGTTTGCTTGAGATGAAGATGGAGAATTGACCAGTAACAAGGTTGTTGGGAATGTTGGTGTGAGCAATGCCGGAGGGCACTGGGACACCAGGCCGACTCAGCGGGTCGAGGAGTAGATGAGGGGGAAGTGGAGGCTGGCGATGGACACCACTCTTCACAAAGTTTGCTGTTGAGGGTCAGAGAGGGAGACAATTGTACCTGGAGAACAGGAGCCAGGGAGGGGATTTTTAACTGGGAAGGACTTCAGTGTGGGAATGAGACAGCTGACAATGGGGACGCTGAAGGATCAAGTGGTGGGGGGAGATCATTTCAGGGGTGAGCCCCTGGGGAAGTCAGTCTCTTGGTTCACCTGTGAATACGCTGCTTGTTTGTAGGAATTCGTGACACTAAGGGTATAGGTCAATTTGCGAACTCTAAAGGTAAGGAGTGTTATTAATTATTTCCACCCAGTGTTTCAAGGACCAACTTCTGGCATGGGCTCTCTTACGGGCTGAATACTGTTCCCCCCAAATTCATATGTTGAAGTCCTACCCCCCCCCCACACTTCAGAGTGTAACTGTATTCGGAAAGAGGGTCTTTAAAGAGGTGATTAAGGTTAAATGAGGTCTGATGAGTGGGCCCTAAGGACACCAATATGACTGGTGCCCTTAGAAGAGGAGATTTGGACACAGACAGGCACAGGGGAAAGACCACGTGAAGACAGAGAGAAGATGGCCACCTATGAGCTAAGGAGAGAGGCCTCAGAGGAAGCAACCTGACCAACCCCTTGACTCCTGGCCTCCAGACCTGCGAGGAAATAAATCCCTGTCATTTAAGCCACTCACCCTGTTGTACTTTGTTATGGCAGCCTGAGCAAACAAATACCCTTCTGCTCTAAAGAAAAAAGCTTTCCAAAGACTGAGCATCAGTGTCTGAGGACTGGTAAATCCATCAGCGTGGGAGTAGTGAGGGTTTCAACTCGAGCTCTTACTCTGCTAGACTGTTTCTTTTCTCATAAACCTGTTTCTTCAAGGTCCAACTCAAGTGACATTGTTGGGGACCCTCCCCCTCCCCCCAGGGGTGACTACCTCTCCTCTGCCCTTGGCTGCACCCTTTGAGCTTGGGCCTCCTGTACCTTCTCTTGGGAGAGTAACTGTTGGTGTTGGGGTCTTCCTCCCCCGCTACCCATCCTTGCTCCCCACGGGCAGTTGCTGGCAGGGACCATTCATCTTTGTAAGCCCAGTACAGTGCCTGGCACAGAGTAGGTGCCCGCTGAGTAATTTTCCAATTGAATGAATTACTTTTCACTTGGGAATTAACAGCCCAAGGAGCTCACCGTCCCCAGCCATCTGTGATCTCAACTCAGTGGAGTAAAAGTCGATGGTGGAAGTCCAGGCACTGCGGGTAGGGGAACACTTGGGCGGGGGGGG